GCCGCCGCTGCCTCGGAAGAAGGTCCTGACAAACTTGGAGAGGCCCCCGCCCCCTCCGTCTCCTCCCCCTCCCCCTCCTGGTAGTCCTCCTCCTCCTCTCCCTCCTCCCCGTCCTCCTCCCCCTCCAGCTGCGGCGGCGGCCGCCCTGCCGCTGGAGCCCCGCTCGGTTCAAGATGAGTCATGCGTGACCAATCCCCTCCCCGCCAAGGGAGAGCGAGACACACAAACGAGGCAGAGACCCAGAGACATGCACACACAAGCACAGAGACACAGAAACTCAGAGCTGCTGATAGAGAGACTCGGAGACACGCTGACATTGCAAAGGCACTGGCTGCGGGCCCACATCCACGCAGCTCACCTCCCTCGAGGGGCACCCACTGCCCTCAGACACAGCCCCACTCACAGGTACGAGAAGGACCCACGGTCGTACCATCTGCGGAGATGGGTTCCACGTGAAGTCACACATTACACTCTGTTGATGCAATCCCGTGCCTCTTACAATTGCGTACATACTGATGCAATGACTACCTGTTAACATCACTTAGGCGGGCACAGGCATCCACACTTACTCTCACACACCTGCACAGATACCTCTGCACCGTAACAACCAGAGAGTGCACCAGCTCCTAAGGACCCAGTGGGACTGAGCTGGGAGGGAGCGGGTGCTAGAGGGAGGAAAGAGGAGTTTCCCTGAATACTCTAGGGTGCTTGGGATATCCCCCTTCCCTTCAGGATTTGCTTATCCACACTGTCCAGTGCCCATCCCACCTTCTCTAGGGTTCTACTGATAATGAGAGTGGTAGGGAAGGCATGAAGACCCAAGCATTTAGATAGGAGACGTAGCTCCCCAACACAGAGACGCAGAGCCCTCAAACTCAGAGCCTTACGGGGACTAACTCCCTACAGTATACAGACATAGGTAGACACAGCCACAGCCCCCTTCTCTACACACATACTGAGCCTAAAGAGACATGGGTAAATATACATCCTCTTCTAAAAACAAATATGCACACTAAGACCTAGATCCAGCCCTATAGACACCATGTCAGCCCATCTCCAGTCCGTCACACACATCATCACTTCGATAATTGCCCTCATTTACAGATGTAAACACTCCACACAAAATTGTTCCTACACTTGTACACAGACAGCACAGACTCACAGAGCTCCAAACCCACATATAACCTGATGTCCTCTACTCAGACACACCCAAATATTCACACACATCCTTACAGATGGTGACATAAGCATCTATAGGCATTTAAAGGCAGAAACGGCACACACACCTCTGCTTAGGATTCCTAATAGTCACAGTATCAGTCTGCACACACACAGGGACATCCTAAGGGATGCAGACAGACAAGGATGCCTGCACACCAACAAAATACTAAAGACCCAAACCTGTATCCCCAAAAGATACAAACATCTGTTTCTTTACAGACACCAAGGTGCACAGAAACAGCTTCAGCTCCAGCTAATGGCATCTCCCACCCTCTGAATTCCAGTCATTTATTGCTCTCAGACATAGAAAATGGAAGAGTTTCTCTTTGAACCCTAATCTTTTATACTAAGAGCATGATTGCAATGTGACAGCGGGTGAGGTGTGTGCATATATATATACATGCGTACATACATATGCATGCACCCTTAAACATGACCACAGATGAACAACTCCCTCTCCCTGAAATATCTCTTTGATACATAATGATCCCTACTACTCTGTGCCAGGCATGATACTAAGCATTGTACAACCATGATCTCATTTTTTTTTTTTCACAATAACTCTGTGAGGTAGCATCTGTTATGGTGCCCAGTTTACTGATGAAGAAACTGAGGTTTAGAGAGATCACGTGATATGTCCAAAAAAAGGTTGCCAATGGCTAATAATTGCCAGAGCCACTAACTTAAAATTAAGTTTAAAATTAAGTGAGTGATGT